CTTTGTATATTGTAAATGATCAGTTATGAGTTAAGCTCATGGAATATGCATTTATTATGCAAATAACCTCGTTGTGTGGGCACCACCTCTCTTTTAGAGGAAAAATCAGTCTCTATTTAATCCGAAATTAAATGTAAACTGAAACGTGAGTTCTTTCTCGTGTTTAAAGGGCATCAAATCCGTTAATACACACAGATATGCCAAAATAATCACAAATTCAGTTGATTTTATGTATTTTATTATAAAAATAATAATCTGTGATATATGTGAAGAAAATTATGCATAACAAACAAATGAATAACAAATAGCTTTCTATCAAAGGTCTAATTGATTATTCAAATCAGTGAAACTTAAAAAGGCAGATTTTGGACTGGTTCTGTTTGTGAAGTAGTTAAAATTGTGTCTAAAGTTTGCGGTAGTTTGTCAAAGATTATACATAGTGATGTAGGTTCACCAGAAAGGCATTGAAGAGTCTCTCATACCAGAATGAGATGGTCAGGAATGGTCCAACAATTGCTTAAAAATGGTACCAGCCCAGATCTTCTGGTGACTGAGAACCTGATTTTTCCTCAAAGTTCACATGTCATCTTAGAGGGACGAGGGTCCATATGGGAGTCAGCTGGGATTTTCCATTCCTGCGGTGTGATGATTCTGGTTCGGTCAGGTTCGGTGTCTTTCTCTCGTCCTGAGACATCTGCAGAAAGGATGCTTCTCTCCTCTCTGAGTCCAGTGCAGAAACAGGGTTTCTTCTCTCCAGTTCTCTTGAGCAGAAGTGTGTTTCTCTCTGGAGTTTTCTCTCCAAACTCCCGTGAAGTCTTCTGAGATTGAGCCTCGGTGAAGTGTGTAGCAGAAGTTGAGAAGTAGATGCGCTTGTGAAAAAGTAGTGAAGAAGTGAAACTTAACTGTCTGTATTTTTCAGAGTTGAAAGTCAACCTCTCGGAAGAGGTGGTCCTAACTCTTTGTCATGTTTTTATAAAGGCCTATTAAATAAGTATAGTCCTTTTTCTCTCTACCTTAAAAGTCACTCTTCTTTTAAAAGAGAAAAATAAGACAAATGATTATCTTAAAGAGAGATTACTTAAAACAGATTTTCATGAATAAACATTCAGGTATAAAATAAAACAGAATCACTAACATGCAATGTTCATCAAAAGGTGTTGCTGTTCCTGAAAAGAAAATGTAATTAACAAAGGGTTCTTTGAAATGTGTTATCTTCATGGGAACGAGTCCTGGGAGTAATACTCCTTTTCGATAAAGGTAAAGTCAATGTAGCTAGTTCGGATGTTTTGACACTTCGATGTCAGTTGAACCAAAACTCTCATTAAAACGATCTGTTCGATTCATGGGAAATGAGTTCATATTGGCAGTGAAGTTAACACAGTGACAGTTTTTTTTTTTTTAATACATTCACATTAGTGTCAGCTAAGAAGTTTGTGAACTGAGTTGAACACCCGTAAAACAAAGTCTTTTTGCTCCAAAGGAAATAAGAGGCATCTTATTTTAAACAGTTTCAAACACAACAACATATGAATGATGTTTGTTTGAGATGAGGTGAACTCTTTTTCTGTTTGAGCTGAGATGAATTGTTTCTGAGGTGGTGTTCTTTTTCTGAGGTGGTGTTCCCCTACAGTGGGGAGGCTTTGCCCCAGCTGCCTGAGGAAGTAGAGTGTCTGATGTGCTTTCTTGATCAGGCATGTAGTGTTGTTGCTACAGGCGAGGTTGTCATTCAAATGCACACCCATATTTGTAACGGGAGACCACTTCCACCGCAGATCCTCCTTAGTTCGGTGGGGGGGGGGGGTTGTTCCTTCAGCAAAATCAATGTGACCCAGCAACATCAATTTACAGTATGTGAAAAATTAACAGGTTGGGTTGATTTTCATGTATTTATCAATGTGAATATTTGTAGTTAATAATGTTTGGATTTTGTTGCTAAGGCTCTCCAGCTTTTGCAATCCGCCTTTGACATCACCCAGTCAGATTTGCTCCATCTCAAACTTGTCCTAAATGCCAGTGAAACCAAAAAGAGGCTTTTTTTTTTAACAGGAAGTCAGTCCCAGCAGTTCTTCCTCTGATTTTATCCTCAAATGGTGTCCCTGTTGATTCCTATAAATATTTGTGTATCTTGGTCGACCCCCATCTCTCTTTTAAGCTCCACGTGGAAAACCTAGTAAGGAAATTGAAAATTAAACTGGGTTTCTTTTTCAGAAACAGATCCTGTCTAACCCTGAACGCTAGGAAACACCTTGTAATTGCGACTTTCCTTCCCTCCATCGATTACGGTGACATTATTTACATGAACACTCCTACAAGCAGCCTGTTAAGTTCCTGGCAAAAACCAAACTGTTTCTGTTTTTAGTTTTCTACACCACCTTATAATCTAGCTGTTTTTTTTTTTTTTGTTGATTTTTTTTTTTTTTTTTGCTATTTTCTTTTTGACTGTCCTTTTGGTCACTATTTTGTTTTGATTTGTAAAAAAAGAAAAATAAATTTAAATTATGTGTGTCTCTTTTATGATTGTCTATTGTTCTCATTGTTACTCACTGTTGTCATCACTCTTTGTTAAGAAATCAGGTCTCTCTTGTAAATGAGTCCCCGAGGCTCAATGGGATTAACCTGTATAAATAAAGGTTGAATGATTGAAAACTGATGTTTTTAATTAAATTATTTATTTTGCTGCTAACACTCTTATCACAAACTGATCATGCACCAGAAAAGTATTTGAGCTGTTTCCTGTCATCAAACACTTGTTTGATGCATTTATTTTCAAATATCACTCAGAATGTGTCTTTCTCATATTATTGCACCTAAATGTAATATGGTACCCATGTCTCAGTTTGCGTAGGTAACAATCTGATGGTAATCCTCATGTTTTTATAAAGAAACTTAAATTATGTTAGGCTACAAGAAAAAACAGCAATGTTTAAAAAGGCTTTAAATAAACAATGTTTAAGCAAATATCTTTACTGATATGACATGGTATTGGTTAATAAGAGCATTAGGTCATTAATTGAAAACTTGTTTAGCAAATTTCTTTAGCATTAGAACAATGCCAACTATGATTCATATACACCTGTCATAACTAATTAAAAATAACATTTACGTCTATCTGGATGGTTTTCCTCTCGTACCGTGCTGCTCTGTCAAGCTCTGCTCATGATTCATAGACGTGATGTGGCTCATGACTTTGTGAGGATAAACACTGAGATCATGTAAACAGAACTGAAGTGTCTGAATATGAAGTTTGCTGCCTTACTGAACCCCATTTCCAACACAACTCTGGGAAGGCCATTAGCTGCACAAAGACAATTAGCAGACAAGATGAGAAAAGATTTTCCTGAATAGGTTTGAGTAGGATGACGTGATGGACAGCTCAATAGGAGGGAGGCTGCAGTGAGAGACCGTTTTGAGTTTGCACAAGGATATTTTTGATTGGCGTCTTTAAGAAATGGCATACAATTACTGAACAACATCTAATTCAGTGCCAATCTGCACACAAATTGAATACAGGGAAAATATGTTGTACAATTGAGCATCTTGAAAGGTTATCATTTACTTGATTTTACACACCCAGCAGCTATTGTTTAGATTTTATATTTTCTAATATTATGCATTGAGTGTGAGGAGGTATGTGTGTTTAGCATAAATAACATATTCATATTAAATATCCATCCATCTATCCATCTTTCTTTAAAAACTTTTCCTTGTCAGGTTGCAGGGAGCTGATGTCTCGCTCCAGCAGCCGCTATAGGCTCTTCACAAAACGTCTCAGTTCGGGACTGAAACATGTTCTGGCTGCCTCCGTGTCTTCTGAATTGACAGAGGCGGCAAAGGCAGTTAAACACAGCACACTTCTGGTGCCGCCGAGTGAGGTAGTAATAGAGTTGAACCGGCTGACATGAAAATGTTTGCGGCTCAGTAATATGATGACCATCAATATGATGGAACTGGTGACAATAGTGTACAATTAAATAACTCCAAACAGATTTATTATGGATGGAATATTGATGAAGATGCACAGACACTTTGTTGTGAGTTTAAATAGTTAATGGGCTGTACCTATATAGCGCCATTTTATATTATCGAGATACTCAAAGCTCTTTACAACGCAATCAGTGTCCTCATTTACCCATTCATACAGCACTCTACTAGATCTCTACAAAGACTAATGAGAGCTTTAGATCACATTTATACACTGATGGAACACACATCAGAGGCAATGAGGGGTCCAGTGTCTTTCCCAGGAACACTTGGGCATGTGTCTGCTGGTGGAATCGAACCCCCAACTCTTGCATTGGAGGATGACTGCTATAACCACTCAGTCACAGCCGCCCCAGTTTAAAAATGTAATTTACCACAAAGAGCTAAAGTGAATTAATTCATCATGTCTTGTCCGTGCGTGATCATCACACTTTTGTTGCAGCAAGCTCCACAATATTGCTGCTGAGTTCTGCTCCACACCTCTTTTGGTTCCATGCTGTCTACTTTGTTCCTGAAAGCTCAAGTCTGTGCAAGACATGTCTGGCTTCATCTGTGATTTATGAATAACTAAAGGGAAGAGACAGACGAACTGATCTTTTCCGCCATTTTGCATAATAGTTTTATGAAAGAGCCTTATGTGTGGGAGGTGACCCTGTACAGGTTACATGTCTAGTACAGGACCACAAAGAGATAAACAATCATTCACACTCCCACTCACACCTCGAGACAAGTTAGAATTACCAATAAATATAACAATAATGTTTTTGGTCGGTGTGAGGAAATTGGTATACCTGTAGAAAACGCATTTGCACGAGAAAATCATGCTAACTCCTCATACAAAGGACCCAGGCCATAATGTGATCCAGATACCTTCTTGCTGTGATATTGTATATTTAATCACTCATCAATGTCCCGTCCCTTACGTACAATAATTCAGACACAGTTGTTTAAGATTTCAATGAACTGACCAGAAAAACTCGACGAGTCCTAAATTCTGTCTTCTTGCCGTTTCCTTTCAGATCATGAGCGGATTGGGAAAGATTCGTCCTACGAACAGGAGGGGAAGGTCCAGTTTGTTATAGATGCTGTTTACGCCATGGCTCACGCCCTGCATAACATGCACAAAGACCTCTGTCCTGGAAAGATTGGCCTTTGCTCCAAGATGGACACTATCAATGGCACACTGCTGCTCAAGTATATCCGCCACGTCAACTTTACAGGTGCGTGTTTCTACTTTCACCAAGAAAAGCACAAAAATTAGCATATTTCCTAGAACAAACGTGAAATATTATATGAAATGTGTATGAAATTTCTTTTAACAATACTTTGTTTATTCCGGCATGATATTATTTTGCTGTGTAATTCTTGCACTGGTGTTTATAGCTAACCTGTGGTTCTATGTTTGATGTGTTTTTGGGTTTGTAACATGCTTCTAGAGGCTTCTTAAGGATAAACTAGTCTCTAATTATCAAGCCATGAAATGAAACACACCAGCAACGATAAAAGGTCGAGATCAGCAGAAAGGTTAACAATCACCAACAGAGCAGCATGTTTTATCATAGCTAATGATAAGTAGAAAATGGGCTTTGTGAGATTTCTTGTCTTGTGTCTTTAGCATGAAATTTCCCCACAAGAGATCGCCTGCATCAAGTGTCCTGGTGACTGAGATGAACTAGACAGGAACACAAACATCACAACAGAGACAACCAATGAACTTTCAGCAGAGAGAGTTATTTTTTTTATTTTATTGAAAAATCAAACATCCAGTTATTTCTAGAGACAGAAATAGGTGTGGATACATTTGTGTATACATGACATGTGACGTCACCTTTTTCCATAAAACCCAGATAGATCCTCTCAGCTTTCTTACCGTTGTTGACTTTTCTAAATAAAGATGTCATTGTTATTCATCCATCCATCCGTTATCTTTTACCTGCTTCTTCCATTTTGGGTCATGGGGGTCGCCGGTGCCCATGTCCAGCATTCACTGTGCGAAGGGTGGGGTACACCCTGGACAGGTTGCAAGTCCATCACAGGGACACGTAGAGACAAACGAGACAAACAACCATTCACTCTTTCACTCACACCTAGGGATAAGTTAGAGTTACCAATCAGCCTAACATGCATGTTTTTGATCTGTGGGAGGAAACCGGAGTACCCGGAGAAAACCCATGCATGCACGGAGAGAACATGCAAACTCCACCCAGAAAAGCTCCCGGCCAGGAGACGATCCTGCAACCATCTATCTGAGAGAGAATAGCTCTGACCTGCCCTGCCACAAAAACACAGACAGTTTTTAAAATAAGAAAAACAATTAGGATTGCAGTTGTTAGTAATGAAGTTCTCTATTGAATGAACCATTGACTAGTTGAGTGTTTGAAACATGTGCTATGCTGGGATCTGCTATTTGTGTCAATGTCAGTGAAATGGGACTTCATCTCTTGCAGCTTGTTGCAGATACGAAGCCACTGAGCTGTTCTGCTGTTTGAACTGATACTTTTCACGTTTGACTTTTAAACTGAAACTAAATAAGTTTGTGCAGAATAATTCAAGGCAGTACATGTTCTTGATATTCTCATTTTCCTGGAAGTGCCATTTTAATCAGAACCGCAACTGTCTACTTTTCGTTGTAAGAGAAGGTATGTGCACAGTGTGACGTTTTAATGTGGAGCACTTTTGCTTATCTTCAGAAGTACTAAACAATAAAAAAAAATATGTATATTAAGTTGAGATTGGAAAATATAAAAATGTGGTTGATTGATTGGCATCCAAATAATTTATTTTCTAAAGTGTGTGGGATGTTTTCTTGATTTGCTTTGGGGATATGATGTTAATAGTCTCTCTTCACAAAAATGAAACACTTAAAATTATGAATTAGTTTAGAGAAATACTTTATTTTATGCACTTACAAAATCTGATTTGAAAACATAATACCCTACAAAGAGAAAAACTAATAAAAATTGGAAAGGTGAAGAGAAACCCCCTCACTACGATAAAGCAAAAGAAAAAAGTGCTTCCCCAATTAGTAATAGTACAAAAGATGCATACAAATGCAGGATGTTCACACACGTAACCTGCAGGGATGTGAAGATATAAATAATTATGCAAAATGAAGTCCCACTTAAGTCTCTGTTAGCAGCTTTAACACCTTGAGCTAATTATGCATCAGCTGAGCAGAGGGTTGTGCAATCAAGCAGAAAGCAACACGAATGCTTTGACACAGTCTCCAACCTGCTCCACCCTCACAGGTGATTAGAAAGTAATGTATCCATTTATCTACAACAATTAAAAGGTGGGATTTGGGGGTGAGGGGCAGCTATAGCAAATACAGGTACGTGACAAGAATAATTTACCACGTATGAGAAAGAAAAGAAACTTTTGGATGCAGCAACTTCTTCACCACGTTAATTCTTAAAACACCAGGGATTTCAGCAAGTGTGTTCTGTCAGTGTGTGCAGCTGGGAAGTGAGAGATTTTGTTCTACACAAATATTTACAAGGTTGTTTTTTTAAGTATTTCAAGAATATGTAATAAATTAAGGTAGGTTTTTTTTTTCTTGTAACATCTGTCAGTTTTTAGTTATCTGAAAGTAGTCATTAAAAAAGTAAAAGTAAAGAAAATTCAGATCAAGTCTGGTTTGGTTCTACATGAAGGCCTTGCTTCAGCCACTATTAGAATCAGCTCGGTGCAGTTACACACAGCAGCCGTGCCGGAAATCGGACTGGCAATCTGTTCAATCACAAGACAGCTGACAAAAGAGTCCGATGTGCCAGAAATCCAACTGACTGTCCAACAACCAGATTGTTGATTGTTCATGCAGTTAATCATATGACTCCACGACTCTCAAGCTACAAACGTTAATGATAAATGACAAAGATTTGCTTGTCCTATCTCAAATTTGGCCCAATCTGTACAACGTCTGTTTGATTTAAAGAAAACATTTACCAAAGTGCAGCTTATTGCTTAGCTTATGTCTGCATCAAGAGGAATTTAACTGCCTAAAGTGGGTGACGGTGATTGTGGCCATTAAAATGTGATGCAAAACACCTCATTTTAAAACAGTGTATGTTTTTTACAGTCACATAAAGGCCATCTCTTATAACGTTTGATTATGTAGCATGGGAAGGTTGTTGCCTTACAGGACACAATTACTGATGATTTAACTTCACAGTCATTTATTGTTCAACAGTGGAAATAATATAATGCAATAATTTGCACCTTTCTTTGTTCTTCTGTTCCTCACATACCTAAAGGACTTGTGCAAACGTCTTCTTACAGCCTATTTGTGGTAAACACACTAAAATTAAGAAAAGCTGTCGTCATCTATAAAAATAAAATAAAAAAGTACAGCTGTGGGCTATTTCGCAAGTTTTCTAAGGTTCACATGGAGATCCCAGCCTAGCTGAGTTTCATGCTTTACACGGCGGAGTATGGTGGGTCACTGTCATACCTCATAGATGTTCTGTCTGGTTCAAGCGTAAAACAGGACCATGATGCAACTGGGCCAAATCTTAGAAAAACCTGATATTAACTGACACAAAATTACCCTTATGACTAAAACTCATAACTACACTAAATATTGCACCAGACTGCTTTGAATACATTAAATGTGCAAAACAACAGGACAACATATACCACATGTAACATCATTTCCATACAACATTTGTTTAAAAAAAGTATTTTAATGCATTTGTAACTATTTAAGAAATACATTTACATAAAAGTTGAAAATACTGTTAAAAATGTTCAACCTGGGTATGATTATATAAAGAATTACATGAATGATCAAAAAAGGTTAACACCAACAAAAAAAAGAACTAAATTAAATAGACATTTAGGTTAAGTTCATCTAATGAAGATAAGGGGTTTAGTTCTAGCTGCTTTAGACAAAGTAAAAAAAACAAACGGTTGGACTTGTGACATTTATGAGATTTTGTTAGATTTATGAGCACTCAGTGTGTGCTGTGAATGACTCTCAGCTACTACCAAACCACATTTTAGATCAATTTATTTGTGATAGCCATCTTTGAAATGAGTTTATCCAAAGAGTTTATCAGTTGTACACATCATTTTTAATCTCTGAAAGTTTCATTATTTCTTCATTTCATTAAGTATTTTCCTACCAAACAAACACACACACACACACACTTACCTGGTTAAAAAAACAGTATCACCCTTTTGTCTTCAATGGCAAGTAAAAAAAAAGAACTAGGTATAGCTTTTTATAATAATGCAGCCGTTATTGTTGGTGATTAGAACAGCATTATAGTTGACAATTGTGCTGGTGGAGCAAGATTTCCTGCCTAATGGATATTGACAGGAAAGTGTTGCACTTTGCAATGTTTTCCTCTCAGTCCTGTCTTATGAGTCAAATCCTGTTTAACTGTTCCTGACTGCTTATTTCTGTGTCAGCTAGGTGGGAATAGGTGGTTCGAGGGGGTACTTATATATATGTATGTATATATAAGATCGGAAGACA